CCCCCCCCCCCCCCCCCCCCCCCCCCCCCCCCCCCCCCCCCTGAAATTTCCTAGTAGATGATCAGGGTTGACAAAGCTGAGCATAAAACCCCATTTACATACATTTGAAGATTTATCCTCCTGCCATTTGTACACCCTCCAGCTGAACTGCTTCTGACCCAGTGATGGGGCAACCAAACTCACAGTGGGCCACAGCATGTGTGTCCACAAAGGGACACTTAGGGACTGTGCAGGATGGGAGAGCTGTTGTGAGGGTTACGAGGAGGTGCTGGCAGATGGCACTCGGGAATATTTGGGAACACTTGGGAGCAGGAATTACATCGGATTTTCAAGGACAGAAAGAGTTCTATTTCCATTATTTTCATTTTCTGTGGAGGAATCAGAGCTCCAAGTGGAATCCACTTCTGCTGGTGTAAAGGGAGGCAGCTGATTGCCATCACCAAAAGACCAATCGCACAGCTGGGACTGGGTAGTGGTTACATTCATCTGTTGCTAGATCAGATAAAGCTGAATGCCGAAACAAAGTGATGTTTTTTATGCAAGTACTGTCACTTCTTGCTCAGGTCCTCACTGGCTGAGCCTCCAGGCACCAGACAAGGGTCATTTCTGTACATGTCTGATAGTCCTCCAGTCTTCAGACCCAGCCTCTCTTTTTACCATGTTTTCCTCAAAATTTAAAATAATCTCAACATCAGTTCATTATATTTAAATGTCTTTATATAGGTGATTCCTAAATAAAGTCATTTCCCTCTAATTTTCTGGCTCTTTACTGAGAAATTTTGCATCTGTAACACTCTGCCTCTTGCTAGTTGCAATAGCATCTTTTATTTTGCCTCTTTTCACACTTACCTGCTGACTGTATCCCAGCAACAGCAACCAGGGGTCTGACTGAACTTCCATCGTCTTCTATTGGCAAGGGGGGGAGCAGGGAACAGCGAGACAGTGTATTTCTTTCTCATTTAAGCATAATGGAATTTACATATGCAAAAAGGCATACTTAAGAAATACGCAAGCCCACCCCTTTTCTTATGAAAGATGAAAAATGAAAGATTGCTTTGTAAATTGAGAAACTGAGCAAAAGCAGAAGCTTGCATTTGACTTTTGACTATGGAAAAGTAATAAACAGAATTTATATACATCAGCCTTCCCCAGCTGAAGTGCTGTCACTGTGGCATTGTTCCATTTAGTGAGTGATGGGACGCAAAGTCTTTCACTGTTTGAGAAGATTATGATAAACTATAGTCATAACTGAAGCACTAACTCTGGGAAAAGATTGATAGATAAAGGTGAATTTAACTTTTCCCTCCTCCCTGTCACATACCTTGTAGTGGCTTAGCATCTGTATCACTCTTATTTACCATGCTGGCTTTTATGCAATATGATTCCTACATCAAACTGAGAATTTAGGTGTTGGGCTCACTACCAGGTGATGGGGTAGGTATTTTCACTGATGGTGCTGGGATGCAGCATTTTCACAGTCCCCTTCACTGACCTTGCCCACTTGGCTTTAAGATGCTGCCATGCTGGGTCATTTCCAGGGCCTGCTTGATGCAATATCTCTTGTTTAGTAATAGAATCATAGAGTGGCTTAGACTGGAGATTTACCCAGTATAGGTTTAGAGATTACCTAGTCCCAACCACCTGCTGTGGGCTGCTTGCCACCCACCAGCTCAGGCTGCCCAGTCCCCATGCAACCTGGCCTTGAATACCTCCAAGGATGGGGCACCCACAGCTCCTCTGGACACCCTGTGCCTGAGTCCTCTGTATTTCTCTCTTTTCTATTCTGGTCTATCCTTTTAATATCCACTTTAAATTTCCTTCTAGAAAACAGAATATCCATTTTACAACCAGTACATTCATTCCTTCCAGCCAGCAGAAACCAGCTGCTGTTGCACAATTCATCTCTTCTGGTCTCCGGAATGTTTTCATGCTGCATTGATACAAATAAATAAACTGCAGTACACTGTATAAAACTCTTACTAAAAAAGGATTAGTCTTATTAAACAAAAGAATGCACTGAAATAGAAGAAGACTGTTCAAAATGCTTCACTATCATGATTAGTCAAAGTGCAATGCCAATATGGTTCCCTTGGCTTTATAGCTGATTTACCTCAGATGGAGCTACATTACAAAAATAAAAAGAAAAGAAAGGAATTTTAAATGAATTCAGCAATTTTTTATCCAACAATGCAACATTTTTGCATTTCACTTAGTTTTTGAAATATCCATGTTCTCTCTGAATCCTTTCAGAAGCTTTTCTCCTGGCATCTCTTGCACTTGGATTCAGCATTTAATATTCCATAAATCCACTTAGGATATAATAGAGTACTGTTTCACCTTTGAGGTCTGAGGCATAAGAAAGATATGAACCTCTTAAAGCATGTCTAGAGGAGGGCCACAAAGATGACCAGAGGGCTGGAGCTCCTCTCCTATGAAGACAGGTGGAGAGAGTTGGGCTTGCTGAGTTTAGAAGAGCAAAGACTTTGTGGAGACCTTACTAAGGTATTGACCTTCTAGTACCTAAGAGGGGCCTACAGTGAAGATGAGGAAGGACTTTTTACCATGGACTGTAGTGAGAGGAGAAAGGATAACAGTTTTAAATTAAAATAATGGAGATTTAGAATAGATGTGAGAAGGAAATTCTTTACTCAGAGAATGGTGAGGCAATGGCATAGGCTGCCCAGAAAAGCTGTGGATGCCCCATCACTGGAGGTGTTAAAGGTCAGGTTGTATAGGGCCTTGGACAGCCTGATCTAGGCAAGGGGGATTAGAAATAAATGGGCTTTGAGATCCCTTCCAACCCAAGCCATTCTATGACTCTATGATTCTATAATGATTTAGATTTAAAAAAGATTTAGAAGTACCCTTATTCAATGTGTTGTGCACTCTTTCTTGTGCACTCGTATTCCCTAGACACCTTTCACTTGAAAAGTTTTAAGAGCTTTATAAATCCACTGAGATTAATGATAGGGTAAAGAAACAGTTTTCTTTGACCATTTCCATCTTTATCCAAGGCTGGCTGCAGCATATGCCTCAGGAAAAAACAGAAAAAAGTGGCTGGATTTGTCTGACTCCCTCATCGTTCCCCAAGCATTACAGCTTAACCAGTCACACAGTTATTAAAATTACTTTTGCTACTAACCTACAAGGCTGTGTTCAGCATGGATGAGACCTCAGCTGGAGCACTTGAGTCTGTTCAGAGGCAGTGATGCAGAAATACGGTAAAGGTCTTCAAATACATGGCAGGTTCCTATGAGAGAGAATAATCCTCAGGTTGGATAGCAGGAAAAAATTCTTCTCAGAAGGAGTGGTGAGGCATTGGCACAGGCAGCCCAGGGGGGGGGTGGAGTCACCGTCCCTGGAGGTGTTCAAGAAACGTGTAGATTTGGCACTGAGGGATGTGGTTAGTGGGCATGGTGGAGATGGATTGGTGGTTGGACTACATGATCTCAGAGGTCTTTTCCAGACTTGGTGGTTCTGTGATTCTATGGCTTATTTCCATCCCATAATGGACATGAGAAGAAACAATCAAAAATACATAGAAAAATGAGCAGATTGGAGAGCAGGGTGCATTTTCAATGACATCAACAAATGAGGAATGAATCACTTGCCTGCTTTGAAAGTAGGATCCCTTCCACCCCTAATAAATACATCTTCTGTCACTTGTAATTTTGCTCAGTTTTAACCACTTGAGCTCAAATTTCCCAGCCTGGGAATTCTCCCTGGACCTGAGGTACAGCAAAGCTTCCAACCCAACCAACAACAAAGTTTCAGTTTCCTCCAGTTCTCTGCTCCATTGCTGATTTGAACTGGAAGGACTGAGTTTGGGAAATCTTCAATCTCTGCTGTTCTTGATCCTCTGATCCAAATGGGAGGAACTAATTTAAAACAAACAAGCATTAAAAAACCACAGTTCTATACAAACACAGTAGAGACATTTGCAGTTGACAAGCAGAAAGACTGCAGTCAGAGAGTCAGCCTCAACCTTAATGGCCTCTGAAATCAATTATGTATGCTCAGTCACTGAGAAGATCATTTATTGCTACTTTTTGCAAGATGTGAAAGTCTCTCAAAACACCATTAATGTCTTGCACAGAGCTTTCCCCCGGTGCCTAAATAAAGTGAGAAAGTGATGAAAGTGTCATTCATTTCCTCTCCAAGAGCTGACATAGAACCAACCTCTGTCCCTTATCTCTACAAACTTTAAAGACTCTCACTGAATTTGGAGACTGAGATGAAGCATAAGCCTTTGATATCTATTCAATCTCAGCGTGCCAGTGTCACTATGTCAACTGCTTCTGCTGCCACAGCACAGTATAAAGCTCCTACACCTTCTGTATCTTGTTGGTACCCTTAGGAAGAGAAGGCTGTTCAGACACTACTAGATTTCCCGAATGGGATCTGCTTGCTGCTGCGGTTCTTCTGGACTGTTTTCATTATGAAATGGGCTTTATTTCAGTTAAACACCTATTTGCAGCATGAACTAACTCCTCAGCCAATTAGTTTTAGAAACACTAATTAACAGACTGGAAAAGCATGCTTGTTTTCTGAAGTTTTTGCCATGATTTTTTCTGCTTTTGAAATTTTGAAATTTTGAAATTTTGAAAAACAGCAATGCTCTGAACACCAGGCAGGAATATAAGAGATTTCTGTATTGGAACAGTTATCCAAATACAGCCCTGTCCAGCCTAAACTTAAATTAATGTATCCAGAGATGGGGCATCCACCACCATACACCAGTCAGGTATCTGCACTTAAACATGGGACAAGATTACAGAACAGTAAAACAAGATAAAGAAAGCCAACCTCAGACTCTCCCCATCCAGAATTGTTCCTGACATTCACCAAAGAGCTCTAAGGTATTTGCAGCAACTGGAGAGCTCAAATAGAAGTTCAGGCATCACCTCCCTGCATGGTGCTAGTCTGTATCTGACCCTACAGATTGCCTGAAGTCTCAGCCTTGGCTAGACTTGTTCCCCATGTTTCCCAGGGCATCAGCTATGGCCAAACTCTTTCCTTATCTCCCATCTATATTTGATATATTTGAATTTCACTTGCTGGTTCCTCCCTGTAATAAGAAGGCAGCCTCGGTGAATCAGACTGTTGTTACATGGGGCCGTCTACTCTAACATCTTCCACTTTCATATACTTTTTGGAGATAGATGTGGAGACATACAAATGCAAAGGAACTCCCTTGTCCTCCCAGCTGGTCCTGCAGCTCTAGTGCCATTTTATGATGGGCATTTCTTTTGCTTTACTAAATCACATGTTGTAAGATGCATTTATTGTACATACGCTGTAGGCAACCCACTGTCCTTCTGAGCTTTATCTCTCCACAGAGACTAAGAGCTACAAGCACTACTGCTGCAGATGGAGTTGGCCAATCTTTGTTCACTCCCACACCAACCCACACTTGTGTCGCAGAGGCTCACTGGTGATTTTTATTTATTGACCAGTGAGTGGGCTGTTGGAAAGCAGCTGAAGGGGTTTTCATAACTCTAGTCACTACCTGGGGGCAGGATACTGAGCAGAAAAGTCATTGGAAAAGGGAAAATCTGCATTATTTTTTCTTAACAGAGCGAATTAATGTGAATTAAGTTTCACATGCTGATTACCTAATGCCTGTGTGGTGGGGGATGCTCTGGAAGTTTGGAAAAGCCCATAGTAGTTAAGGACAAAAAAACAACTCTCAGACTGCAGCCATGCTGAGCATCCATTCAGGAGAGGAACCTACAGTATTTTTTCCACCATCTGAAAGAAAATGTTCTTATTTTTCAGAAATACAGTAGTCTTTGGAGAGATTCACAGCTGCAGTACTTTGGCTGCAGAGTTGTTATTTAAATGTTCATTAGCAGACATGTCACAGGGAACAACTTTCAACTAATTGTATATTTCAACCTTAAACTAATTGTATATTTTGAAAATGGTGCAGTGATTCCCAAGGTGAGCACATAATAGTGGATATAAACACATGCTGCTTCAATCCTCCCACTGCTTCTCTGGGCTGTGAGTGGTCTGTGAACAGAAAGAGCTTTGTAACTGCTTCAGATGGATCAGATGTGGGCTTTATTATCTGGGAAAGACTGCACGGATTGGTGCCAATGCAGATATCTCTGGCATGAATGATGTATGAAATTCAAGCAGACTGCTCAGTACAGTACAAAAAAGGTTAAATGGTCCTGAGGATGATATTCAGAAAGCATATAGGGGCACTTCAGCAGCAGGGTAGTCTCAAAGCCACAGAGCGCACCTGTCTCTAACTGGGGCAATACAATTTGTGCTTGTTTTCAGGCACAATATCAGGGGGTGACCAGGCACACAATTTGGTGATTGCCACTTCTGCTCTGAAGATAATGACATGCAACCTAGAGCCCCACTGCCTTGCATGGCTTTGTCCCATTGTGCTGGTGTTGTTCTCAGCTGTGAGTCATATCTGAGTGCCCAATTTCATAGCATTCAGTCTCGTCAGTATGCTGCAAGGCTACACAGTTGTTTTCTTCAAGAAGCAGAAAGGTAAATCCTGTTGCAGCATAATTCTTGCTACTCAAGAAGAAACCAGAGAGAGAAAGAAAAATGTAAAAAGAAAATGGAAAAGGAAAAGGAGAAGGAGAAGAAAAAGGAAAAGGAAAAGGAAAAGGAAAAGGAAAAGGAAAAGGAAAAGGAAAAGGAAAAGGAAAAGGAAAAGGAAAAAAGAAAAAAGAAAAAAAAAGAAAAAAGGAAAAAGAAAAAGAGAAGAAGAGAAAGAGGAAGAGGAAGAAGAGAAGAGAAGAGGAAAAGGTAAAAGAAAGACAAAAATAAAAAGGAAGTATTGTTTTCTGTCAGAGGCTTTGTCTTTGCTGTTCTTCTGAAAGACAAGTTTGCTCTAAGTGAGAATCAATGCATCTTCACTGCCTCTGAAGACTCAGATGTGTCTGTCCATGATTCCCATCTTCTGCTGTCTGTGTTCAGTGGCTCTCACACCTCTGACTATTCTTTGCCATCTTAGGCTACTTTTAAGTTCTGCATGAGTAGGTCTATCTAAGTCTTTCTTTCATTAGAGACCTGGAGATGAGGCAGGAAGCAGCCTCCAAATGAGTCAATTTCCATACATATTGGTTGGACAGGTTTTTATTTATGGGAGGCAGCCTGTCTTAATGGCAGTCTGCAAGAGTTTGAATTAATTCTCCCAGAAAGCTTCCAATTTGTCTATGTTTAATAGAGAAGGCGTGTCATATTGAATGAAGACCTGTTCTAAAAAACAATTTCCACCCCATCTAACATTGATTACAGTGAACAAGCAGAATAAATTGGGAAAGCTGAGAGGAGGGATGGAGAGTATAGAATCATAGAATAATAGAATCACCAAAGTTGAAGAAGATCCCCAAGATCATCGAGTCCAACCATCACCAATCTTTTCCACTAACCTGTGCTCCACAGGACAATATCTCAACATTTCTAGAACACCTCCAGGGACAGTGATTCCACCACTCCCCTGGACAGCCTTTTCAATGCCTCACCACTCTTTCTGAGAAGAATCTTTTCCTGATAACCAACATGAACGTCCCTGGCACAGCTTGAGGCCATTCCCTCTAGTCCTATTGCTAGTTACATGGCAGAAGAGGCCCTTCTAAGGCATTAGATAGCTCTGTCTCATAGCTCAGGTGGAGGATTCTGATGCTGAACTCTGCTCCCTCCTTTGTTCTTGAGGTTTTCTTGCAGGTGACATTTGATTTTATTTTCTACACTGCAATAAATGAATGGGTCAGTGTTAGAACAAGGGAAAACTACACCCCTTCAGCTGTACGAAGAGTGGTTGAGCATCTTCCAGGTTTCTGAGTTTCTCTCAACCACTAAATGCCTCATTTTCCCCTCTTGTCAGCACTAAGAGTAAATTACAGTGACTTTTCCCTGCTTTTTCTTATTTTCAGTGCAACTTTCTGCTGAATTGTGGCTGTCTTTGTGAACATGCTCAGAAAACACAGGATATCCAACTCCCCAACAACGCAGCCATTCTTCCTGTGCCCAGGAGCAGCCCATTTGTATGCAGAGATTAGAGAACATCTTCCTTCAAAAATCTATGTCCCAATATCACATTTCTCCATTTTCCCAAAAGTTAGCTTGCAAAAAGTGGATTTCCATACATCAAGTATGTTCCCTGAAATTACCCAGAAATCCCATCTCCATCTCCTATGGCAATCTCAGTCAGCACCTTGCTGGGGATGGCCTTTCCTACCTGGACAAAATTTTGGCCCTTAAACTATCTTGCAGGTA